ATCCACATACTGTTAGATTATGATGCTATTAATGTGACTAATATCAAAATAAATTTATGGTGCTGTTAAATTCAATTAATTTTTTCCTACAAACTGAAGTGAGTTGCAGTAAAACTTAGTCCCTTGAACTCCATGAGAAATGATACAGTAAATAAATGTATTCAACAAGAGTAATAGTCACAGTGATTTTGACCTTTTGGGTCCAAAATGGATGGCATCTTACTTGCCCTATGCCATCTACAAAGTTTGGTTCAAATATATATTGTGTAACTTGTGTTACTGAGCAGAAATTATTTTTCTTTTTTCAGGAGACATGACCTTTGATATTCTAGTCTTAAAACCAATCAGATTTTCTATACCCCAAGTACAAATTGTCCAGAAAGTTTAGAAACTGAAGATGAAAAAGAGCTCAAGTCATACTGCATAAATCATTCCCATTTCTTCAGTCACATTGACATGACTTTTTAACACCAAATAGAACAGGCTCTTCTTTGCAATAAGTACAAGCCTATCAAAATGTCTGGTCCAAGTATGTGATATAAAATGAACAATAATGACAAAAACAAATTTCCTTCTCATAGTGACCTTGACCTTTAACTTTATGACCCCAGAGCCAAGAGGGTTCTTTCTTACCCCAAGTGCATGTTACCCACCAACTGTACCTGATGGAGGCCTCCAATAATTGTGCAGAAACCATTTTTCTTCAGTCCTGAACCTTTTGAACCCCAAATCAATAGGATTTTTCTTTACTATGTGCAAACCTTCCACAAAGTTCAGAAACTGTTAATGGTGGACAAATAAATTTTTCAATGTGGACATTTTTTTTATATATTCAGACAGTGACTGTAAATATTTTGCTTTGGGTCCAAAATACACCACTCCCTCGATAACTCGTGCCCGGATAACTCGCGAACCCGCTTATAATGCGGTGTCCGGCATGGCTCCCGATTTTTTTTTCCCCAAGGAAAATATATTTTAAAATGTGTTAAACATAAAAAATTTGTGATAAGAAAATGTAAATTGGCAAATTTAACCTTGATACATAGTTCATTTTTATGATTGAAAATGGTGATTACCGTATTTTCTGGGGTATAAGTCGCTACTTTTTTTGTTTTTTTTCTTCTTAAAAATGATGTGTGTGACTTATATGCAGGAGCGACTTATACAATAAATAATTTTTTTAAATGCTTGTGACTGATGCGCAGTGATGCTGTGCTTTAGCGAAATGCATCTGCCGGTATACGGGCAAGCCAATTGCTGGAAACTTACATATCGTACACGTAAGTATTGGACTATAAGATTATCAAATTAAATAGTCAAATAATATTTAGTTATATATGTGTTAAAATTTGTTGTTATTAATAAATAAAAAAAATTTGAAATAACGAAAGCCATTGTATTTCCTTTATTATTCAGCATGTACATCTTAGAATCTTTTTGTCTCTAAATTATGTAGTTGTAAATTTCAGCACATTTTCCAACCCAAGCTGCTAGTCAAAGTCCTTTGAACTTGCCGTCCAGCTATTGTGTCCTGTTCTTTTGATGTACTCAAATAAATACAAAATGCCGAACTGGGATTATTTTGTTATTTTAAACAACGAATTATGTCACTGTAAATCGTTTCCTAGACCTCTGTTATCGCTTCATAACTTACTTCAATAGTAGTTTATAAAAACACACAATCATTTTTTCGGTTGGTTTCGCCATGGCTTGTTATATAAAAAAAAAAATAGCAGGAATATTTCCTCCGAAGATTGCTCTAGTTTTAAACTCTGGATTAAGCCAAGACCGGCTTCATGGAGAGAACTTCAAAGTACCGGTAATTATTATATAAAAAAATAAATGGAAGGCTGGTGAACAGTTTCAATGGTTAGGTGAATTCGCCAGTGTCTTCATTAATGTATTGAAATCACTGTAGCGTATAAAGTGCCATTGAAGTTCGCTTGGGTTGTGGAAATGACCGATATATAAATATGTACTGTTCATACAATAGAGCATTAATAAAATATAATTTCACAATAACGTTGTATGATTTAAAATTGTTATATTAGCGTAAGTCAATAAGTTTAGTTTTAAATTAAATTCATGCCATTTATCATGGCACCAACAACTAGAAAAAATATGATGCAGAATTTAAGTTAAACGTCGTAGCAATTGCGAAAGAAAACGGAAATCATGCAGCAGAAAGAAAATTTTATGTAAGCGAGAAGATTGTGCGTGACTGGCATAAAAAAAGAAGACGAGTTAAGGTCAACAAAAAAAAAACCAAGAAGGGAAATCGTAGTGGCAAAGCAAGTTGGCCAGTTCTCGAGGAGAATCTACGAAAATGGATTGTGGTACAGCGTGCTGCAAGTCATGGATTTTCAACAATTCAGATACGACTCAAGGCAAAGTCAAAGTCTATTGTAATACTGACTTTTATATAACTCTTAAACAATTGTATAATATTTCTTACACGAAGTTGGAAATTACCAAGTCGCATGCAATGGTCAGTGGTATCAAAGACGTGATTATGGTAAGTGTGGAGGAGCGACTTATACGCAGGAGTGACTTATATGGCGGAAATTACAGTATTGCCTGTAAAGATGGAATCCATATTGTGAAATTTGCATTTTTTTTTCAAAATGTGAAGTGATATTTCTCAAACGTGTCACAAACCGCAAGTGTTATTGTGTTCTAATTTATGTCGTTTTAAATTTTGAGACCCATTAAATTGATGTTGGTAATGGATAAACCTTGTGATTTTTTTTTCTTCCATTTTACTTCTACCACAATAAAAATCTACACATCGTTCGATCAACAGTTTTTTTTTCGAAATGTGTCGTTCTTTTGTATTTGAAAAAAAAACGTCCACTTTGGATCAAACAATAAAATTAGAATGCATACCATTCACCACAAAAATAAGTGACGTAATACACAACGTGTGAAGTACATGTGCTAAGCAAACGGAAACCAGAAGGAAAAATAATTAGATGATTTTCTCAATATACTGTAAGTTATCCTGAAATTAATGTTACTCTGTGAGGAAATACTAAACAAAGTACACCGATATGAAAAGATATTTATCCATTGTTAATCTTAGCGCGATTATTAATTGAGTACTCAACATGCCAAGCCACCCACCCCCTTTTCGTCGATCCCATTGTTATATTTGTTGTTTGTTATAGGTACTCGATAACTTGCGCCCTCGCTTATATCGCGGTCGATGTTTTTGTACCCAAATGTCCGCGAGTTATTGAGGGAGTGATGTATATAGGGTTCTTACTCATAGAGGTGATATCTGTACAAAAACTGGCAACAATAAAGAGAGAACAGCTGTAGTTATTGTGCAGAAAACAAAAATTGGTAATTGATGCAGACTGGGACAACATCATAACATAATAAGCTCAGCCTTATTGTGATCATATAAAACAGCATTTTTGAAGACTGTAAAGGATGGAATTGATGAAATAATTGCAATTCATATATCTGTTTGATTTAGATAACATACTGCCACATTATGTTTAGGTAACATCTATTTGATACAAGTCCCAAAATTGTAGTCTTTGTCATTTTTTTCCTTAAAATTAATGTGGCCACCAGATATTTGTGAAATTTAGCATAGGTGCAATAAGAGGTGTTATTACTGTAGTTGAATAGATAAATATTGATATATGCAATTATTAGATACATCAAAGATTTGTTTATTTCCAAATATGAATTTAATTCATAGTATTATCCTTTCATGCTTGACTAGTTTTCTCTAAACTATTTATCTGTAAAAATATAATTTTCTTTCAGAATAAAATACCTATAGAATTTGATCCAATAAAAGTATTATTTCCCATTCTATTACTTAACAAGCTATATAAAACTTTAACTGACATAGTCAAATCTCATCATAACAGTCCCCAAAGAAGCTTTGTGAAATGATGACAAAAGCTAGCTTTTTGTTGCCATTTTTCCTTAGTCTTAATTTCAAAAGGGCCTGGACTGAATTTATACATTTCCAAAGACATGATATGTGCTGATTCACTGCAATACAAAAGTTAATGGTGCAAGTTAATGTTACAGTAGGCCTTCAGAACCCTGGGGAATTAGTTTAGTTGTATATTTCGTATGTTCCATATCTCTATTGTTTTATGCCTTGTGCATATTGAGTGCTATCCAAGTGGGAAAACAACAAATAATTTCAATTATTAGTTATAGAACTCCATGACAAATATCCAGGATGCTGTACATGTCCCTGGCAAAGACTGACTGTTTTTGTTACCAATCCTAGCAATTTTTACTCCTCCAGGAAAACGTTTTAGAAAATAATTTTAAAAAAAATCCCAAAATTGATTTGTGCATCTAATGGATCTGGTTCATCCCAGTACTTGAAGCTTTTGGTACATTATATATACTAATCATATATATATATAATGTTTAGAAATAACAAAACCCTGCATACCTATCTACCTAAGTTTAAAACCAGTGCAATATGAGACATTTAGTTTTGCCATATTGCTTCCAAATTTGAATATTATAACAAGACCAACATTTCAATTTTTGTCTGGAAGCAAATCTGGTTTTCCTGAGAAACAATATATACTATAATTAATCATCCATTTTGTTTTCCTTGTCAAGTTTCCAGCAGACAAAACCTGAATACATTTAGTACAGCCCAAGTGTTAATGCCCTTCAACATTCACTGCCAAATATATGCAATGTCTAGCACATGGTGATTATTCATATGAACATCCACAACTATATCAATGGCTGTTGTTGGGAGGTTTAGGTTTAGATGTTTATAATTCTTAATGTAGCTTTAACAATTTTTCAGTTATATCGCTACGATGTCTGCAGTGTGGCAGTTTATAGTGATGTCTAGCACTGGGGCATCATGCCACAGACATGTAGCATGATGTCCCACCCAGTCACATTATCCTGACACCAGGCCGACCAGTCCTAACACTAACCTCTTAATGCTGAACGTCAAGCGAGGCAGCTGTTATTACCATTTTTGTAAGTCTTTGGTATGATTCGACCGGGGATCAAAGCCACGACCTCCTGCATCCGAGGCAGATGCTCTAACCACTAGGCCACCAGAGCGGTTGTTGTTGGGAGTCTACTCTGTGTGAAACTTAGTGTTATACTTTTACTTAAGTGATACTAAAACATCAGCTGCTAGTTTAAGCCAGTGTCTCTGCACAGCCAAGTGATTTCTTTAATATTTACCACCAGGTGATGTAAATGATAGTAGCTGTGTATTGTTTACAGAATTTTAAAAAAAAATATTTTCGTCAGGTAGACAATGAATTTGAATTTGGACAAGGTCAGCAATAATACAATTTTACAAAACCCATAGCATATAATGAGTAAAACAAATAACAAAAAACATGAAAATTAATTATACATAACAAAAGTCTAACACTAACCAAAAACAAAGCAAAGTCTGAGCCAATTAAAACAAAAATATGTTTGAGGTTAATAAATAAAACAAAGTTTGAAATTAATAAAAAAAAGGGAAGTTTGAGGCTAACCAGAACAAATGCAAACTTGACAGAAATGCACTTGACACAGGCCCAGTACAGAACTTTATAAGCGTAAATCAATGTATTGACACAATATATAAAGTATGCCTTACAAAAGCATTTTTTTGTCACCAATATAGGTATTTACACTCATGTCATGTATCCGTGTAATGATTCAAGATATAAAGTATCCAATTTTAATTTTTCATCACTCTTGACTGTGAAGTTTCCTCCGAATAATTAGGCAGATGTTTATTAACTTTTAATAATCAAAGATCATCTGCTATTCAAGTGTTGAATTTTAATCTAAAAGTCACAGGTCTGATACCCTCCTAAGCCAACCCAAGTTGACTGCCTCAGCGTCTCCTTGGGAAATGCATTTGGCTCCCATTTCCTCAGCATGACATATCAATAATATGTTAAAAGTACTTTTAAAACTTGTTTCATTTTTAATGTGATCTATGAAAAGACTTCATGTTTCATACATATCAAAGCATAAATCACATTTTTAAAATTTCAATCCATGTTCTGTTCAACTTTATGTATCTTAACATTTTTAATTTAACGTAAGTTCATTTTATTATATTAGAACATGTTTTATATCACCTTGTGTTACAATTGCTTAATCTAGCCTCCCTTTCTATTAAGTTAAATACAGACCTAGTAAGAATTTGCTTTAAACTCTTTGGTTGTCTCTTACTATTAATTTTCTTTCTTTAAGAAACATTTCTCATTTTATCATTTTTACAATGAAGTAATTGATTATAGTGAGGAAAACACTAATTCCTGAATCCATTATTGCATATATGAATAGATGACTGAATGAAATTTTTTTTATACAAAATGATGCCAGAATAATCAAACAGGTTGTAGAGTTAAATTTATGTTAGTTTTGGAATCCAATCTGTGCAAGGAGTAATGGCAACTATCACTTGGCTATCATTCACAAAAATCACCTATCATTCACACTAATCTCATAGCTATCCTACACAATAATGAGTAAAGGCATATATCACTTGGTTATCATTCACAATAATGAGTAATGGCACCTATCACCTGGCTATCATTCATAATAATGAGAAATGGCACCTATGACCTGGCTATCATTCACAATAATCACTTGGTTATAATTCATAGTAATAAGTAATGGCACCTATCACCTGGCTATCATTCACAAGAATGAGTAACGACACCTATCACCTGGCTATCATTCACAAGAATGAGTAACGACACCTATCACCTGGCTATCATTCACAATAATGAGTAATGGCACCTATCACCTGATTATCATTCACAATAATGAGCAATGGCACCTATCACCTGATTATCATTCACAATAATAACCTGGCTATCATTCACAATAATCACATAGATATCATTCACAATAATAAGTAATGGCACCTATCACCTGGTTATCATTCACAATAATGAGTAATGGCACCTATGACCTGGCTATCATTCACAATAATAAGCAATGGCACCTATTACCTAGTTATCTTTCACAATAATGAGTAATGGCACCTATGACCTGGCTATCATTCACAATAATGAGCAATGGCACCTATCACCTGGTTATCATTCACAATAATGAGTAATGGCACCTATAACTTGGCTATCATTCACAATAATGAGCAATGGCACCTATCACCTGGTTATCATTCACAAGAATGAGTAATGGCACCTATGACCTGGTTATCATTCACAATAATGAGCAATGGCACCTATCACCTGGCTATCATTCACAATAATCACCTGGTTATAATTCATATTAATGAGTAATGGCACCTATGACCTGGCTATCATTCACAATAATGAGTAATGGCACCTATCACCTGGTTATTATTCACAAAAATAACTTGGCACTCATTCACAATAATCAGTAATGGAACCTATCACCTTGCTATCATTCACAATAATCACATTGCTATCATTCACAATAATAACCTGGTAATCCTTCACAATAATCACCTGGCTATCATTCACAATAGTCTACTGAGCCATAATTGAAAGCCCTAAAAATGTCAAAGCAAAAAATCCTGCAATGAAACCCAACATTAACACACTTCATTATAACACAAAATTTGGATATAACACAATGGTGGGGTACCTAAAGAATTTTATAATAATTTCAGCAATAAGATGATTAAATACAATGTTTTAATGCCAAAATATGAGTTAGATTTAATAATTTCTTGCATCAATGCTTTTTTCATCAGAAATATATAACAAATTTGTGTTTGTGAATGTTCATTTCAACTATATCTATGATCAAATTTGTGTTTGTAAATCTTCATTTCTACTGTTTGAATAGTCAGATTTGTGAAGAATCTAGTATAATATTATAGTGAATTTAAATGTATACAGACACTGATTAATGACCTTGACACATTTGACACATACACATGCATATACAATAAACTTTTCATCTTTCTCTACACTATGTTGGGATTATATTTTTGCACTGAATTGAGACATGTCATGATCTATGATGAGGTACATATATTCAGTGCAATAATTACTGATTCACTATTATGGATACAATGAGACTGGACAGTGATTGTGTCAATATGTGATTGAACAGTGACTGTATCAATGTTTTAAATATGAGATTGGACAGTGACTGCATCAATATTTTAAATAAGATTGGACAGTGACTACTGATGTTTTAAATACGCAATTGGACAGCGACTGTATCAATATTTTAAATGAGACTGGACAGTGACTGTATTGCTATTTTAAATATGAGATTGGACAGTGGCTATTGATGTTTTAGATATGAGATTGGACAGTGCCTATATCAATATTTTAAATGAGACTGGACAGTAACTGTATTGATGTTTTAAATAAGAAAAAAGACAGAGAGTGACTATCAATATTTTAAACACGACTGGACAGTGTATGATGTTTTAAATATGAGACTGAACAGTGGCTGTATCAACATTTTAAATATTTATGCTATATATGTACCAATGCATGATTCTTTTTTTTAAGAATAAAAAATATGCAATCATTCATCAATATGCATTCATTTAAGATTGTAACTGTCTCTTGGAAACATGTAGTTTTAAGCCCACACCTATACATCACCCCAAGTCTAGAGTTCAGGGGAGATGCACAGATAATTTCTTCAGTTAACTAACTTGTTGCCCTACGGCATGATATGCTCCATAGCACAAAGGCGTTTCATGAACTTGGTCATGTTACAGCATGATTTCACAGAATTGGAGAGACAAATCAAGCCCCAAATGAAGAAAACAGTACAACATACCTGGTGATGGATACTGATAGACAAGAGGTGCACCATAACCTGGGGCCTGAATAAAACTTGCTGCTGGTAATGCATCTGCTGGCTAAAAGAAATGAGTGTTGAAAATACATGTACTGACATACCACTAGCTCTTATCAATAACCAATTACTATATTATAAAAAACCCTAACAAATAATACATTATAAATAGCCATAACAACTACTAAATTATAAATAACCCTTACAATTACTACATTATATATAATCTTAACAATTACTATATTATAAATAACTTTAACAATTACTACATTATATATTACCCTAACAATTATTACATTATAAATAACCCTAACAATTGCTACATTATAAAAAGATCCCAAACAATTACTGCATTATAAATAACTACAATTACTACATTATAGATAACCCTAAATGAAACAATTACTACCATATAAATAACCATAGCAATTACTATATTATAAATAACTCTATTACTACATTATAAATAACCCTTACCATTTTATATAACCCTTTTATAAAAAAAATCAAAGGTTTCACAAAATATCAGACTGGTTATTCCAAAAAACACCATATCCATATCCAGTAAAAATGCCAGATTTGATCCTCATCAGACTTAAAAACTTTATGCATAAGTATCATGTACATGTCACACTGCAAACAGTGTGTACATAGATCTGCCAGTGCAAAGTTCTCTAGAAGATCAGGGTTTATAACTGTGAACACAGATCTGCCATTGCAAAGTTCTCTAGAAGACCAGGGTTTATAACTGTGAACACAGATCTGCCATTGCAAAGTTCTCTAGAAGACCAGGGTTTATAACTGTGAACACAGATCTGCCATTGCACAGTTCTCTAGAAGACCAGGGTTTATAACTGTGAACACAGATCTGCCATTGCAAAGTTCTCTAGAAGACCAGGGTTTATAACTGTGAACACAGATCTGCCATTGCACAGTTCACCAGAAGACCAGGGTTTATAAGTATGAACACAGATCTGCCATTATAGTTTACCAGAAGACCTGACTTTATAACAGTGTGAACACAGATCTGTCACTGCACAGTTCACTAGAAGACCAGGGTTTATAAGTGTGAACACAGATCTGACATTAAATAGTTCACCAGAAAACCAGAGTTTATAACTGTGTGAACATAGATCTGTAATTACATAGTTCACCAGAAGACTAGAGTTTATAAGTGTAAACAGATCTGTTATTGCATATTTCACCAGATGACCAGTGTTTCTAGCAGTGTGAACATAGATCTGCCATTGCACAGTTCACTGGAAGATCAGGGTTTATAGTACATGTAGTGA